CAGCCACTCCTCAGAAGGAAGACTGGGCAATCTTTGTAGATATACCACCTCGGAAACGCCAGGAGGGGTCGCTGTGAGTCGGATCGACTCCATGGCAGTGAGGTTTTTTTTGGTTTAGATCCTAGTGTACCTTGTTTACCAAGGTGAAGAACTTTTCTCCAAAAAGCAACGGGGAGTCATGTTAAAGTGTTACTAGGAGCATGACACGTGTAGCTTGCTATTTTTAACTAACCGACACTGCTAAGGAGCGGGGTGGGCTGGCTGCGAGGACTAGAGGCAGTGGGATTCACGTGGCTTGACATTAGAGTCAACAGAATTAACAGGGAAGAGAAAAGACATATGCAAGTTACTCAAAAGTACAAGCTGAAGTCTGACTTCTAACGGTAGTGATTCGTCCAGTGAGACCCAAGGCGCATCCACTTCAGAACCACCCGCGATCCACTCAGCATGCAGATTTCTGGGTACACCCTAAGGCTCCAGGAAGAAATCTTTTGAGGGTGGACCCTGGAATTAGTGCCCACACTAAAGTTCAACCACCCCAGTCTCGTCCGCGGCTTTCTTCCGATTAAGTTCGGATCTTTCCGAACCTCAGACCAGGAACATTCAAGAAGGCAAGGTGCACCTCCGTCAGGAGAAAAGGAACTGCAGCGAGGGCCTGGGCGGGGCTGCATTTGCGCACAGGGGATCAGCAGGGTCGCGTGCAGCCCCCCTGGACGCCTCACCTGGTCGCACACAACCACGTCGAACTCCACGCCGCTGAGCAGCAGCACGTAGAGCGCCAGGTAGACCATGCGCACGTAGGCGCAGAGCGCGGCGCCGCGGCCGCCCCAGCCTAGGCTGCACGGCAGCCAGTCCCCGGCGCAGTACACCGGTAGCTCGCGACTCTCCGCGAAGCAGTGGCCCGGGTCGTAGTGCGCCGTCCAGATCTGTACGTCGCATCCTCGCGCCCGCAGCGCCAGCGCTGCGTCCAACACCAGCCGCTCGGCGCCGCCCACGCCCAGGTCCGGGTGCAGAAAAAGCACCGACGGGCCAGAACCCCTGTCCCAGTCATGATTCGGCTTCCCCGCCATAACCTGGGAACCGCGCCTGCCCTCTCCACCCGGAGGGGCTTCCGGGAAAGCCCCGCCTCCCCGGCTCCCAGCTGGCCAGTGAGGGGCCGGCCCCGCCCCTCTGTGCGTACGTCTGTTAGGCCACATCAGCGCAAATCTGTGGGCGTCTAGGAGCTGCCGGATAAAATTTCTCGCCCAACATTGGCTATATTTTCTCTTTGGTAGGTATTGGATCCTATAAAGGACTTTTAATGCAAAGGAAGGAGATAGTGAGTCTGTACTTTCCAAACAGCAACTGATCAAGTCGCCTGGAGCGAAATTTATGCAGGCAAGTAGTGGGGACAACCCCGGCGTCCCTGGAGTCAGCGAGGACCCTGCCAGCAGGCCTGGGGGCGGGGTCTGAGCCAATCTCTCCAGACACCGGTCCTTCAAAGGCTACCGTGTTTCGGGCGGTCGGTCCAGCTTTCTGCCAACCTCTAGTTTTCAACATGGTATG